GCCCCACCCCACATGAGACCACCACCACAGTTAAAATAATCCTAGGGTAAACCCTGACTTGGGCCTGGTCTCATTCTGGGTCTGGATTATAGGACAGCTCTAGTGAAAACATTTATGTCTACATCTGTAAGTTCAGCTGCAGCACAGTTGCTGTTGTAGAAGAAAACTCTGATATTTACAGGCAGCAGGCCAGCTGTGTGATGGCAAGTCTGGCTGCTTTGTCTCAATGTTTCTCAGTGCTGAATGTCCTCACAAAGATAGAAAGCAGCTGACACAGATGGATGGGCCCTCACTGGTTCTGAGAGCAACTAGTGGTCATGTGACTTGGATGGATTAAATGGATCAGAACGTGGTGCTAATGACAGAAACCTGCTCACAGGATCATACAGTCCTGATCCGCTCCGGTTCTTTTCCTTCACTCACTTATACTGTCTGTAACCTGTTAGTCATCCCAGCAGAGCTGTAAAGTAACTAAGTACAAATACTTCTTTACTGTGCTTAAGTAGAATTTTTGGGTATCTGTACTTTACTTGAGTAATTATTTTTCAGCTTACGTTTTACGTCTACTTCTTACATTTTTACACAGTTATCTGTACTTTCTACTTATTACATTTTTAAAAAAGGTAAGAAGTAGAAAGTCGTTACTCCTATTTTATTACAGCTTGTTGTTAAAAATATTATCCTCCTGGATAGAGTGAATTTAATTGTGGTTGGATGAGAAGTATAAATATATATTATTCTGATGCTGTATTAGTTTGCACACAATCCATCAGAGCTATAAACAACACAAATTATGTCACACTGCAGCAGAACATGTACTGTATGTAACAGGTGGAGTGCATCCTAATTTTTATAACATTAACATTTTTAAAACCATAAACCTGAGACAGGTAGCATGTTAGCATTAGCTCTGTGCTGCCAAATGTTAGCCTGACTCACTTCCTGTTCTGGAAACGGGAATCAATGAAATTGACACACACACACACACACACACACACACACACACACACAGCTGTGTTTGACAGTAATGAGGTCTGACTGCACATTGATCTGCTCTCAGAGGGACAGAGTGTCATCATGCGGAGCTGTAGTCGTGGTTGTGGCGTTGAGGCGAGCGGTTGTGGCGTTGAGGCCAGCAGTTGTGGCGTTGAGGCGAGCGGTTGTGGCGTTGAGGCCAGCGGTTGAACGGTGTGTGTGGTGGGCAGGTGCGTCTCTAACTGCCTGCTCTCTTCCAGCAGGACTAACTGAGCCAGCGGACGCAGCAGCAGAAGAATGACGAGTGCTGCCCCGGCCAGGAAGCCATACAGGAAGGCTCCGCCGCAGCACCGTGAAACCCGCCTGCCACCTCCTGCGCCACAACCCGACATCAGCCAGGTAACCGAGCCCCCTCTGAACACACCTGCACACACCTGCCAGCTGCCGCACACTGACGGCTCTCAGTATGGCTTCAGGACCTCTCCGCTGGTCTCAGACAGTGAACTGGACATCTCCAGCCTCTCCAGCTTGGAGCTTTGCATCCCACCACCTTCACCCTTCAGTAGCCCCGCCCCCCACTCTGGCTGGATCAACAGAACCACAGAGATGGGCGTTCTCAGATCTGATGGTACCGGCTGTAAGTCTTTCAGAGATGTGAAGAGTTCTGACAGACGAACCCGTAGAGGCTCTGCGTCAGCTGGGAGCCCACAGCACAGCTGTCACAGTCACCGGGTGAAGAGCTCCGCCTCCTCAACACAACCCAAGGGGATCCTGAAGCAGCCGGTCTCACCGGGTCGGGACCACACACCTGACAACCTCAGGAAGTCAAAGTCTGTGGAGCTGCTGGATGCCCTGCAGACCCGGTTGTTGGACTGGGCGGAGCTTCCAGCAGAGCAGCGGACATCAGCTCCGCCCCCCTCTGCAGCTCCGCCTCCAGCCGGTACAAACACCTGGAACTGGAAGATGCAGGTTCTAGAAGAGAAGGTGCGCTTCTCCAACTTTTTAGACGAGATCACCTGTCGGGTGTTGAGCCCCGCCCACCTTTCACTGCTTGGCAAGTCACCTGCCAGACAACAAGATGGCCACTCCCCCCACAATGGCCGCTGTCTTCCGAACCAGCAGGGACAGTGTGCTGACCGGACCCGGCGCTGGGACAGCTGGGTGGCCTCGCTGCAGCGACCCAACAGTTGCTACAATCTTCCACAGAAACACAGGACGAGGCATGATGATGTCATCAGCCAGGGGGCGGGGCCTGAATACAGCAAGGTGACCAGAAGAGTAAAGCTGCAGGTTGAGGAGAACAAAGGAGCTCAGAAACACAGACGTCCTGTGTCCAATCTGTCTCTTCTGTCTCACAAGGTAGGTCAGAGGACCAGGTCCTGTCATTCTTCTGTGTGCTGCTGGGCCTCCTGGTTCACCTGCTGGGGCTGGGTGGTGCACACCTGAGCTCCTCCCACACCTGCTACAGATCCAAGGAGGCCTGAAGCTGACAAAAAGTATCAAATGTAGTTTAAGCTTTAAAATTACTCTCATCTTAGTTTATTTAAGTCAGTTTTGTTTTTATATGTAGCTTTATGTGCTTTCACTTCTGTTAGAGGTGTTTGTGTGTGTGTTTGTGTGTGTGTGTGTGTGTGTGTGTGTTTGTGTGTGTGTGTGTGTGTGCGTACCCCCTACCCGCACTACTGAACTTCTCAGGTATTTTCATGTACCCTAGTGTGCACTCTTTCAGAAAATGCATGTTAACAGAAGAAAAGTTGGGTTTCACTGCCCCCCAGGGACCACTTTGTGACCACACCCCTTTTAAATTTTGACCATCAAAGTTAGGTATCCAACCCCTGGCAAAAAGTMTGGAATCAGCAGTCTTGGATGATCCCTCATTCAGACATTTCACTCTGTAAAACAAACTCAGATCAAAAACATGATACAATAATCAGGTCATTCCAAAGGTCAACTTGTTGGCTTTCAGGAACTCAAAGAAATGAAGAGAAAACATTGTGGAAGTCAGTGAATGTTACTTTTATTGACCAAGCACAGGGAAAAATATGGAATCACTCAATTCTGAGGAAAAAATATTTTTGTGGAATTATAAGCATCTCTGGGAACTCCGTCAAGACTGTTGGAAAACCATTTCAGGACTTCCTGTTGAAGCTCATCAAGAGAATACCAAGAGTGTGTGAAGCAGTAATCAAAGCAGAAGGTGTCTACTCTCAAGAACCTAGAATATAAAACATATTTTCAGTTGTTTCACACTGTTTTGTTCAGTATATAATTCCACATTAGTTAATTCATAGTTTTGATTCCTTCAGAGTGAATCTACCATTTTCGTAGTCATGAAAATAAAGAAAAACTCTGAATGAGGTGTCCAAACTTTTGCTCTGTTAACAGAGAGTATAAATACATGACCTAACACAGAGCTTAAAGGTTTTCTGTTTTGTTTTGTTTTCACACAGCATTCTTATTTAAAAAAGTAAACCTTTACCTTTTGTGTATTTGTGTGTAAGTGAAGTGTGTAACAGCCAAACACTTTTAGGTCTCTTTATACCAGACTCAGACAGGATTTAAAATCCAGCAGATGAATGTGATTAAAATGTTTAAAATGAGACCTTTTAATGTCTGGACCTGTGTAACCTGTGTGTTCTGTTTGGTTTCAGGAGGCCTTATCAGACTCCGACAGGATCAGGTGAGTCTGGTTTGAATTTTAAAACCAGTTCAGCCTCTAGTTTAAAACTATTTTAATGTCTGTTGGCTGATGGATTGGAAAACATTGAGCTGTTTGTGTAACAAACATGCTGTTTAAATCTGATCAGGACTGTTTTAAAACTTTAGTGAGTTTATGGTGAAATGGATGTAAAAATGCAAAATTAGCAGAAAACCCCCCATAAAACTGCTAAAAATACTAAAAAGTGATCATTTGTAGTGCATGCCAACACTTTTTTACCATTGTTTCATCATTTGCTTAATTTCTGTATTGTGCAGTCTATTTTCCCTGATGCCTGGAAGTTTGCTCAGATTACTCCCATTTTTAAATCTGCTGATCCAACAGAAGTTTCAAACTATCGACCAATTTCTGTTCAAACTATTTTTTCTAAGTTACTTGAAAAAACATTATTTAATCAACTACTTCACTACCTACAAATATCTTGGAATTACTTTGGATTCTCATTTGACTTATCGTGATCATGTACAAGTCTTAACC